CAAAATAGTTTATGATTGCTTTTAGGGTCAAAATTTAAACAAGGCTTGTTAGGAGAGTGAGGTCCTTTCAATGGAATCACAGTATACCCTATCTGGGCTGCAAAAATCCAGGCCACCAGACAGAAGCAAAGAGATACACAAAACTCTTAAACCTTTCCTGGCATCTAATGGTCATCTGGATTTTTGCAGCCCAGATATGTCTACTGTGATAGACATCACTTTTCTAACCCAGATACCATGCCTAAACTACATTTAAGATGTGGCCATACAAAAAAACAGCAAAATCAAAGAATTAGACTAGGGTTTCTCAATCTTTTTTTCCCTGGAAGAACTCTTGAAATAATTTTCAAGTCTCAGGGACCCATTGCATAAAAATTATTGTATCTATGGCTCAAAGTACATTAGCGTGATCAGTAAGGTGAGTCACAGCATTTAAAAAGTTCCCACCTCTGTAAGCGCTAGGATTGTGAGGCACACAAAGTTTTAAAAAAACAACCTCCAGTTGAGAAAGGCTGATTTAGACACATCTTATGTTATGCTGCACTATAATTGTAATGTTTTTTTCCAGAATTGCCAAAGGAGTAATCCTCAGTAATAGTGCTGCAAGGTAAGGAGAAAGCCAATACAATAAATCAAAGAAATTCTAAAAGTGAATAACATGTAATAAAGGTAATCTCTATCACACAACTAAAAAGGAACACGAATGAAATCTAGAAATAAACTGGAGTTTCTTAAAAATCCTGACACCCCATTTGAGCCATGATGCAGCTAAGAGGGGAATTTTTTTTTCCAACTCATTACTCACTTTCCAAATGTCTTTCAACTATTTTTACTCTGCAACTGTATACAGAATCTAGAGATCCTGCTTGAGAGGGAGAAAATACCAAGACTGGGAAGAGAGGAACAGCTACTTTCTTTCATACAACATTGGAAATTTAAAGGTGTTTGGGTTGTTGGAGGAAATAGCATTCAAACCTGGAAAGTTGTTGGAAAGTTAAGATTCTTTCAGACAAATAAAGGGTGCTTTCAGATGAGGTGTTATAATTAAAATGCCTTTCAAGTTCTACTAATCACAAGATAATGTATAGCTATGCTATCTTTTATTATTTTACATTTTTGGAGAAAAAACAGACAAAAGCAGTGGGAAAACATGTGAGGTTTACGAAGAGATTAGGTTGTCTGGATCTAGATACAATTCCTTGAAAGCCGTAAAGTGAATGCATGATAAAAACCTTGTCAGTAACATCCAAAATATTGACTGCAGGCTATCCTGGTGTGTAATATTGTAATTAAGATGCCTTTCAATTATGCAGTGAAATTGACACTTTATTTGATAACAGTATTATCAGCCAAGGCTGGCAGCATATAAATATGATTATTTATATTTTTCTATTTTTTACATAGGAATGTGTATGTGGCAAACTAAATGTTTTATTTCTTTCAAAAAAGGAAAATCAAATTAAACATTCCAATTTAAGGGACCATTGTTGACTAGGCTGTTGTAACATTTACAAAGACTTTCCTCTTCAATCTTTCTAAATATGTATCAGATCATTTAGATTGTTAAAAAACTTCTGCAATTTAAAATGTTTTCTGTATTTACTGCATGCTACTGATCTTCAACTGTATCATAGTTCTGATCTTCAGCTGAAAATGTTCTGTATATTAACACAGGAAGTGCATAACTAACACATTTCTTATGTGAAATGCTACTGAAGTTAACAAATATTGAGAAAAGAAATCATAATGAAAAATAATTTCAAAGTATAGCCATGCTGCCAAAATAATGAGAAGAAGGAGCTATGATCCCAAACCAAAATCTAGGCCAGCAAATCTCTCTGGTTTCAGTAGTAGCTGCATACCTTGTTCTATTTTAGTTAGGCTGTTCTTTAGACCACCATTTCTGAGCCAATAATCTGTGTAAGTTTTATTTTGTACAGAAAAGATTGAAGTAATGCTTAGATTTCCAAACATCACAAATGACTATGCTATGTTCCCTCAGAAACTGATTTCCAACAACTTCTTCCTCTTTTCTGCCTTGTGAAAAATTTATCAGACCAGATCAGGCTATTGTAATTCAAACACACTGAACAAGTACAGAGCTGAAATAGACCCGCCTTTCTGATCCGATACATTATCTACTAGCTTTATGCCCTAGTTAATAGTTTTGTATCTTTACTTCACAGAGCAACACTAGCAGAAAACAACAGGGATGAAAAGAACAGAATCCAGACGATAAATTTATACAAAAATGGGCAATATTTATATTTTCTTAGATCTTCAACTGGGCAACTTGTAAAAGTCTTTTGTTATAATGAGACCTTCACTCTGCAAGAAACTGGTGCTGGAATGAAGACAATTCTCTTTCTTATTATAAGTTAATAGAAGACTTAACATCCATCTTTTAGGGTTTTTATGCTGCTGACTTTTTAATGTTTACATGTATAGTTTTTATTATGTATATAATTATACTTTAGGCTGCCCAAAGCCATTTAGGAATAGACAGGAAATAAATTTGCTAAATAAATAAATACAGACTTCATGAATAAATTTCAGCTTAGTACTATATCTAGCCATATGACTTTTTTGTTATGATTTCAAACTATTATTTCATTCCATTTAAGTACTGTATTTTAATTTGTTTAAAACTTAAAACAGTATTACCACAGGAAGAGGTAAACCAAAAAGTTACATTTTTTTAATGTGCATCCCAGTTCTATGGGATTGGTTATGGGTATTGGGTTTACTTGGATATGAATTTCATTTTGGGCTACAAGTCTATTACCTACAAATAAGCTCCAATAAATTACTTCTCTACTTATTTCAAGGTAGATAATACACTGGATCGTACTGTCTTCAGTGGACATACAGGCTTACAACATGTTAAAATATATGGCTTTATTGTGACAAAAGCCTTAGAGCACTAAATTGGATACAGCAAGCACTATGCTCAGGTGTCAGACTTTATATATGCATATATGAAAAATGAGAAAAATATCAATTGGATTCAAAATTTTGTGAAACTTAAGATCTGTACAATCACTATATGAATCTGAAACAAAAATGAAATCAGCAACTATTTACAGTAATATTGCTCTGCTAGTTCAACAGAAAGAAAATCTATTGAGTTTAAATGAACAGAACGCTGATAAAATCTTGTCACTTTGAAAGACCTCCCATCATAGTAATTTGTTAGTAAGTTAGCAGCGGAGTAAAACATTTCCCTCTAGTTTTTGAAGGTTGCCATTTCTATATTATATTTGCATCCATATATTATTCTCATAGAGAGCCCTTATTGCCCTGCAGACCACATAATTATTGGCTGACTATCGAATATTGCGTAGTGCAGGCTGCCTAAGAACACAGCTTCTTCTCTAGAACAGATTCAGTGCGACTTCCTTTCTTCCAAATAACTCAGGATTTCAGTCTTAATTGTTCTACTGTCAGCCAGTAACACAAAGGAAATATTAAATGAATGTAATTCAGGCACATCTTTTATTTTAAACATCTACATTTTTACTAGGATCTTATGCAAATGAATTCTATTGTACCCTAAGCTGAAATTTTATATATCAGGAAGCCCTTTAACATGAGATGCTGTTACAGAACCAGCATATTCATAGTGCAGTAACTATCAACAACTTCCCTAACAAAGCCTGACATTCCAAAGGTAAAAAATAATAACCAATGGTAAGCCTAATGAACAGCTGAAATATAAATGGGAAAAACAACAAATCTTTTATTAATTTAATTTACCTTATGTACATTTTTGCTTTATTAAAGGCAAAACACTAATAACAAAAGAATGATGCAGACAAAAATTTGCTATATAATTCATATTTTAATGTTACAAAACCCACACAATTTAAATTAACAATTAAGTCTATATATAACATTTTTTTCAAAAAGGACTGAAAATTGTGGTAATACCCTCATACTTCAGAAAATTGGCTCAAAAGTCATTTTCCTTGCCTCTTGTAAAAAAAAAAGACTAATTCAGATGCTGATAAACAGAACATATCAATAACCCACTATAACAAACTAGGTGATGATTCAATACTATTTACTTGGATAGAGCTAAGAAGTACCTATGTGACCTTGACAAGCAGTGGCTACTACTAAAACAGGTTGAAAATCCTATAAATGTCTGACCAATAGTAAGACAAGCCCAAATCATGTAAATGAATTTTTCAATTCCTGAATTGCATCTCTAATAGCATGGTGACAATAACTAACCCTTACTGAATATTATTTACAGGAGTGATGGGCAACTCAAGACCATACTGAATACTTGGGGGCTAAGGGCCACAAAGTAGGCAAGGCTGTGTTGTTGTTTTTGTTGTTTTAAGGAGTTTCAGGCATTTATTTTAAATTCTATATTCCAACTAACAATCAAAACTAAAATAAATATGCAATGCTATATGTCAAAATTGTTACTAAGAATCAGTGGGATCAAATCTAATTCAACCCAATGTATACTGTAACCAGACAAGATACTGAATTCTGATATTAAAGAAGTATTTAAATTTAATAATTTAAGCATTTATATGGTGACGCAACTCAAACCATGTGGTTCTGGGAGGCATATAAAAAAAATCTTATGCATATTTATTTGGGAGTAGTTGCAAATTAGAACCAGTTTAGTGTAGTCGTTGAGGCATCAGGCTAGAAACTGGGAAACCTTGAGTTCTAGTCCCACTTTAGGTACAAAGCCAGCTGGGTGACCTTGGGCCAGTCACTCTCTCTCAGCCCTAGAAAGCAGGCAATGGCAAACCACTTCCAAAATTTTGCCAAGAAAACTGCAGGCACTTGTCCAGGCAGTTGCCAGGAGTCAACATTGACTCAAAAGAACCTCCCCCCCCAATGCAAATTAGGGGTAATTGTTTCTGGCATATCAGTGAAACATAAGATATCATCACTTGCATACAACAGGATCTAAAGATTTACCTTTTATAGCTTAATACCCAATACCTGCATTGTCTATAACAATCTTCAAATGTCCCTTCTACAGTCAGTAATTCACAGAGTAATTCTCCAAGAAGACATGTTAAGACAAATAAAACCGCATCCTTAATTTCAGCATTAGAAGAACTGATTGTACAGAGATGCACTTTTATGATTATATTGAAATTCCGCTGCTTTCATATTCTGCATTTACAGTGCAACATTTTATGTCCTTTTGGATATCCTGCTGAGTTCTGCAGGATTCACTACAGTCTTATGCATATTTATTTGAGAGTAGTTGCATTTGACTAGAGACTGTCCTACTGAAATCAGTATATAGTGATGGGATTTTCTTTTCTTTTGTAGTGGGTTAATGGGTCTTCTTTGCATCTTCAACTGTGTTAAACAGCTTTGGGATATTTTCAGCTACCAAATGGGAGAATACCCATACTGCTTTTTTGGCACTGTCTCACCAAACTTTTGTGGCCTAACAGGAGATAGTTCTAAGAACCACAAAAAGAGATTAATGTCACCTTGGGGGTTGCATATTGCTAACAGCTGAGTCCTGACTTGGGGCCTCTCTCCCCATATATATGCAAACCATAAATCAGCTGCCTCAGACCCAGTTTTCTATGCCAGTTGCATTCTTGGCTCTTTTCTTTGAACAGTCACTTAAAATAAGAAATGCTACAAAACTAACATTATCTGTAGTGTATCCTTTCACAACTGGAAACGTGAGGCTAGTATTTGTTCCCTGCCTGACATTATCTTCCCTTTAGAAGAACTTAAAAAAAAAAAAAACACAGTAAGTAGCAATTCAATTTTGGCAGCAGCGCCATGTATTTAAATTTCTGTTCCTCTCTCTCTCACACACACACGCGTCAAGTCATCCCCTAAGCACTGTTCATCAAGGGCCGAACTAGTCCAGACTTGAAATACTTTACAGTCTGTCAATGTGAGGGCACCCTTGCGATCGGGACACCGACCGGCAAAGAAGAGAGGCTTATCCTCCTTCCTGCGCCGCGTTTCCCACCTGTTAGTCCCCGCTCCCGTCTTCGTGAGGCGGAAGCTGCCATTACTAGACCATGGGCAAGCAGGTACGTCTAGGAGCTAGAGTGGGGAGAGACCGGACGATCCCTGATCGACTCTTCCCGCGTTTCTGGAAAAAAGATAAAAAGCAGCCGCAGTGGTTGCCTGCTCTGGAGTGGAGAGAGCGGATTTAGCACTTTCCCCATCATAAATCCCCGCTTCGGGGGTAAAAATCACCCACTCTTGCTGTTATTACTGCGTATCTGCGATGCGGCAAGTGAGCTCGGGTAACCCTACTTAGCTGACCGAAGTATGGAAAGAATTTGGGCTCCATTCTTCTATGTGTGGAGAAAATGTGCGAAAGGAAACGACCGAAGAGAGCGACCAGGGGGTAACTTTCGCGAAGCGGAAGCTTTTGACTCACACTGGCCCGTCTAGGCGGGTGGGTTGAGTCGAGTACTTGTACGAGATACTCATTTTTGGCGGCCCCGCGTTACGTATAGGAGTTGTCCTCCGCCCGGAAAAGTCGGGACCTTGCTCTGGGTGGGGACTGCGCGTGCGTAGCCCGTTCAAAACACATTTTTCAAACGGCCCCGGTGACGCGGCGGAGTCCCGAAAAGACCGTTTCTCGTGTTCGAAGAGGGGGCGGGGAACCCTTCCGCGAGCGCGACGCCGGGAAGCGGACGCCGCCGTCTCGTGACTGAGGCGCTCGCGCTGGCAGAGAAAG